TGCTTATGTGTGTTTTCCCTATACATTATCRTGTGTGCATTTGGAGCAGCTTTTGCTGCCATGGCAACTTAAGCTGCACTAGCTGGTGTGGGAGCAGTAACACACAAAGTGCCAAAGCATCTAGCAAGACTGCTGAGGAATACTTAACAGTACGGCAACATTGACATTCTGGGAATGTTGGCTGAATACTGCAGTAGTTTAGACCACTGGCAATGAATGAATGGCCAGTTAGGTGGTGTTAAAATGGCAACTGGCCAGGGCGATAATAGCAGGGTGCACGTGTGAAAGTGTGTTGCACCTCACCGAAGCAGTATTGGGTTTATAGCGTAACAAGAGTGGGAGGCAGTCTAAATCATAAACCACTGTCCACATACACGCACATGATGGCAGCTTGTCCTAAAGCATATTTCATCATTAGCTTTAAGCAGTTAATCCTCTGCTCCACTGACCACGGCTCAGCTCAGCTCATTTCAATAATCTGAGTCTGGGGCTAACCGGCCCATCATGCATGCACACAAACACACACACTCACACACATTTCAAGCAAGGACAATCGCACCACAAAACATATTGGACTGGTCCAGTCCAGTCTCTCAAGTAAGAGGTCTCACACCCACACACATCTATCCAGATATAATCTACTGTGCTGATAGAAAAACTAGTAAGAAAAAAAAAGATTTTTTCATTCATTAGACAGGAGATGTCAGATTGAGGTTGTAAGGAAAAGCTATGGATAKAACTGGAGAGAATGAGACATGTAGGGCAGCCTGTACGTAGAATGAAGATGAAATTGGAAAAAGTTGGATCAGAAGTAGGGATGCACCGATATGAAAATTTCAGCCGATATCGATATCCGATATAATAATAGCTGTTATGGCCGAAAACCGATATTTACCGATATTACACAAACACACAAATTATATTATACACATACGCACAAACACACTTGGGTCTTTTTTTGGTACCATAAATAAATGACCAGATCACTGACATGGCTCCCTACTTTAGTTATTCCTGGCTACGCAGTGACTATCACCATCATGATCAAACAGATGCCATTCAACCAAACATTTCCCCTCCCAAAACAGAAACTAAAGCTAAAAAGTTGGAGAACAATATCGGACGTTAATATTGGCCAAGTTTTACATATTGGACCGATACCTATATTCTAAAAAATCCAATATCGGACAAATACCAATATCAATACCGATATATCGTGCATCCCTAATCAGAAGTACAATTTTTGACATTTTCATTCCAAACAAGAAGCATTAACATTTCAGTGGTGAAACACTTATCCCGATTACCCAAACTTAAAGAGCTCTGAGGGTCTTAAGTTTACAAACCACTATTTAGAATCCTTAACCCATGTCTTTGTACCATCCCCTTTTCCCCATTTGCCTCTTTTTCTGCCATGTTCTCTATGTAACCACTTGAGAAGTAATGGCAATGGTTAAGAGGTGGACAAATTACCCCAATCTCCCACTCGTTGCCTTTGGCCATTTTTTATTTTATTTWWTTTTTTCCAGAAATGCCCTTACTCCAAGAACAACATCAGCTTGATCTGTCTTTGGCAGAGCATTCTGTAAATTATTAATATCTAGGATACAGGCAATGTTTCCAACCTCTAGCTTTGCATCTCCTTCCTTGCTCACTTTTGTGCAACTGTTGATGTCAAGCTCAAGGTTAGCTGCTCATTGTATTGAGTGCCAATGCTCCCCCATCGRGACTGACAGAGGGAAGATGCATTAGCACCTCAGCAGGTTGTTTTCAATCTCCTCTTCTCCTTCTTTTCCTCCACACCTTCCTCCTGTCCCCTAGTCTACCTCTCAAACCACGACCCCATGTAGATTACTGGCAGGCCTCTGTCTAGTCATGTATACTATAGCTGCTGTAAAGGTGTAAGAGTTCACTGACACATGCTTACACACATGTTGTGTTTTGCATTTGTCTCCACATCAAAATTTATTTCTAATGCCGATGTGTTGAATGTCCAGATGAGCATAAACAAAACCAAAACCTACAGGGGGTTAATTCTTTCCCCTTGACCTGCTGTTGTGTATTGACCTGCAGTAAATGGGTTTAAACCTTACCCAGCCACTGCCTTTTATCTCAATCACATCTTTATCTTCTCACATCTTTATCACAGGCCAGTGAACACACAAACAGGCCAACAGACAGGCCGACAGAAGCCATATGGTCCATTCACTTCCAGTGGCAGGAGGTACCCTTCAAAGAGTTCTCGCAAAAATGCCACTCAGCCACTGACAGAGGGAGGTAGAGAGATTTATAGAAAGAAAGCAGGAAATTGAGGGTAATATAGGTAGATAGAACACAAACAATTAAGAAGAATCAGAAGTTATTTGGAATAGACTAAGAAAACCGATCATTCAAAAAGCAATGTGTTAGGTGGAAATAAAAAGKCACATAAGTGCATAGATCTTATACTTTATGGCCTATATGATGTGACAGTTCTAGGCCTGGCAGGAGACAATAAAGGCCATGCTTGGCTGTAGATGTCATCTTATATAGAACTACAGGAGTAAAACAGCACTGCATGTTTTATGCTGAGCCGAAAGTGTTCAGGTTAAAGGTTGACTGTGCATTGTGCACATTAAAAATGGCTGAAAGGGTTTTCAAATTCTTGATGCAATTAGTAAAGTCATGGTAGAACCATGTCTGCTCCCAGCTTCTCAGGCATCACATTGCACTTTAGAAACGTTACACTTACCCCCATTGCATTACACTATTTTACAATCAAATTTGGTTTAATTCACTCTGCTTCCTGTCCAGTTCAACTTCATGATGTCATAACTATGTGCCTGTAAACATTAACACTTAGCTCACCTAAACAGGACTCCATTAAAGTCCAACCACGTTCTTTTACTGTAATGCTCATTTTTATTCAGGGTTAGTCACAAGACCATAAATTAGATTGAAAAAGTGGACTGAAAGACAAATAGTGTGAGAGAAGATCTGAAAGACATGAGGAGGAGGGATGAAGAATACACAAAGTAAGGTGAAATAGTGTTTATAAATCACCATCCATTAGCTGAGGGGTTATAAAGTCACTGATGAAGGGGGTGGACTTCGCCTCAGACTTTTTATTGTCTTGTTGTTGCCTTTTATTGCCTATGATGTCATCTAATGGTATACAGTTAATGATGGGGAGGGGAAGTGTGTACATGGGAGGGAAGGATGGGATTGTAATGGTGCTGCATGTGCACGCCTATGTTGACACATTATTGATTGTCTTTGTGTAAGTGTCTGAGGGAGTCTTTGCCTGAAWATACCATATGTGCACAATCTCATTTCCATTTTGGCTGTGTTGATGATAGTTTTATAAAAGCTATGATGACACATTTCTGCCAGATGTTAATTAAATCAACTTATACAGCAATTCAGTTCAAATTGTAATAAATTTGATTAATAAATGTTATTAATAATTTGATCAAATGAAATGTCTATTTTCAGAACACAAACTCTTATCAACATGATCCGCTTTGTGCAATCAGCTCATTTAATTGTCTAAGTTTTTAATGAAACACAGTTGGTAAACTAAAAYATGTTTTGAAATCTCTTCGATCGAGTTTCCAAGTTAAAAATGTTTTGATAATTATTATGGGGCAGAAGGCTAAAATGCAAGGTKAATCAGCCTYGTTGATTCAGTTTCTTCATGAAACAAAAACAAAAAATACTGAGAAAGAGGCAATACCTTTGTAGAAAGCTGCTTGTTTTGAACAAAAACATAGTTCTTAGCTCTGGATTCTGCTCGCCTTCCTTTTACTTTCAATTGTAATTTKCCCTACTTTTAAAATAAAMTTTATTTATAGTCYAAAGTCCATCTATGTYTAAAATMGTTGTTCCTTCAGCTAAACTMCCTGGCCACGCCACACACACACACKTAGTTTTACTTATATGCTCAGATGTGTGAGAAGGCAAGTCAAAAGTACAGGTGTAAACCAGATCTACTACATCCAGCAGTAGTGCATCATCCCATTAGCAGCAAAAAGGGCTCCTGCACACAAGGCCACGGGGCCATGAAGGGAGTCTAAGGTGGAAGCTACAACACTTCAAACCCCAGCTTATCCACTACTACTTAACWCTGAGGGGACAAATCTTGTTTAGTCAAGGGCTCTGTCTCCACACTCTGTGACATGAGTTTCAAGGGAGAAACGATTCWCATTCAAAAATGTTTTTAAAATACATTAGATAACAGAAACTTTTTTAAAAAATGTGTCCATCAATGCAGAGGAATCAGTATTTTTGTTTCTTAGAGATATATTGCCATGTTAATACATAAAAGTAAACTCTGTGAAATCACAAAACACAAATAATCAGTGTTGCTCCTTGTAGTTCAGTAAACTATTAAGCAGTTACATAAATTAACTAAAAAATTATGTATTTCTTTTTATTCTAATTCCCTTATTTGCCCCCAGAAAGGGATAAGAAACTTTGTCTAATCAATTCTGCAACATGCTGATCTGTGCTGTCTAGCGAGTTCTGCAACATGCTGATGTATGCTACAATTTGCCCCCAGGGCTCTGGATTTTACACAAGTCCAAAGTGAAGGAAAAGTGGAGCGGATACTCCCGATACTAGATRTATTCAAGAGTATGCCTGATATATGGTGCAGTGGATGGGGAGGATGTTTAAAGATATCAGATAGGGTTTGGTGTAGAAATAAACCTCCCCCTTAGGGGCTTCCCTGATCCTCTTTCCTCAAAACACACACACACAGTTTCCTTCTCTACAAAAGGACACACACTTGTACCATTTAGTTTCCTTCTCTTTCACGGATGCACACACAGCATCGTGCCATAAATACAGCAGACTCAGCTGATTTGCCTGAAAGTCAATCTGCCTTTCTACTACTATCCATCCCTCCAATCCAGCAGTCCCAATTCCCAACTCTTACTCCACTTTCTAACAGAGAGAAAACAAATCTGACTCCATCAATTCAGCCATTTCTTATTTATTCCACTCATCGCGGTTCTTACCTTTTTGACTTTTCCACTTTTTGTCCCCACGAAGACCAACGAGTGGTTCTTGTAGACATAGGCAATGACAGAAGACATTTTGTCAATGGCGTCAGAAAAGAGAGGCTTGCCACGCACCATCTCAGATACACCCAGCGGTGCGTTCATGTCGAGGCCGCAAAAGTCATCATCAATGGTTAAGAGCTGCAATGTAGAAGAAAAAGAGAACATCAGAAAAAAAATGTTTAAGTTTGCTTCAATAATTTATGACTTATAGTGCCTTTTGCTTTGATTTTGCTTAGATTTTAAATGCTAAAAAGCTGGGGTTGTCACAATAGTATGTATACAGAGTGAAATCCATGAACATCTATATGAACAGTTAGTAAAGATAAAAACAGGTTGCCATTCTTTAAAACTGTGCTGGAAGCTGCTCTGTCGGCACAAATCACTACGGAAGAGAAATTACAGCAACACTAGAACAGAAATATATTCATTGTGGGGTGATTTAAAGTTAAATATGAAAATGTGTTTCAGTAGTATGAAAGGAGGCAAATCAGAGGTCAGTCATTGCACAACTCTCATATGAGGTTCATTAGTTATTCTTTAAATACGATTAAAATTTGTTMAATTATTAGTCCAACTGAGCATAAATTAGACCGTCAAGATTCACAGAATTTAATTTAATTTAATAGAATTGTGAGATATGAAAACAGTCCACCAAGGCTAAAATAATCCATATAGACAAAAGGTATTCCAAGAAAGTTGATCCATTCAAAACCAGTTTAAATCAAAAGTTGACTTGTGGTTTGAAATGTGAACTATGAGATGCTCTGAGGGGCATCTGTTTACTTTATTTCTAATTTTTCTTCCTGGAAATGCACTCRTGGGGCACTCCACAAATTGCGCAAGGGCATCATCTTCACACAACCCATTACTAAGACTCATCAGAGGCCTTACAACAAGACACAGAGGAAATATGGGCTCTGTTTTCATTACACAAATGGAACACTGCTAGTTTAGGACACTAGCTGGAGGCTACAACATGAGGTCATGTGTAGTAGAATAAATGATTGATTGAGACAAACTAAATGTAGGTCAGGACCATGTCATATAGTTGAAGGTTCTAGATGAAAAAAAAAAAAGAGTAAACCATAACAGCTGAGAAAAATAAACRTAAGTGGGCAACTTTTTCTTTACTTTGCCTTTCCTAGATGACCTTTTCAGAATGAGCTGCTGTCACAAATAAGCGCTCTGTTCTTAGAGTCTCATGGTAGTTCGCTCCTAGATGAATGGCTCTTCAATTCATGTTTCTACAGCAACCAGCACAGTRGTTCCTATCTATTAATCTTACCCTTGTTTATGTGACAGAACAAAAACACCCTCTTCATGTCCCCATCAGTTACAGAGGATACTCATCTTGCCTGAGTTCAAAGGTTAACAGGATCTATCGGAAGCAAAATGAAGTACTTCACAGTATTTGGAGTTTAAATTATTAAATGCTTCCTTGGAAGATAAGGTTAAAGATATTTATCTCCGAAATAATTATATTTCCAGCAATTAAGTGTTTTAAATCATTAAAATATTACCTGAATTTAGTGTCTGTGTTTGAAAAAAAAAAGTTTTTTTTATTTTATTTTTGTGTGTGTGTTTGTTCTAACAATATATGYTGTACAATTGTTGCTAGTCGTCAATCACTGCCATCTTCATTTTCATATTTTTTAAATAACCTGTCAGGTCTTTCTGGTCAAAGTCCAAAAGATAAAGGGTCCTACATTGCAAAACGTGGGGAGGAAAGAAAGAGGAATACAACTAAAAGRCACAAGGACAAGAGAGCAGAGATTGTTTTTGGACTGAGGCCAGAAACGGAGCAGAATCAGGTCACTCTCAGCTGTATCCGTCTCCCTGCTTGTGTCTGGCTGCCAGCACCAGTACAAAAAGCGCTCTCTTCTGGACCATGCAGGGGGATCAGCAGATATAGAGTGGGGTGGTGTGGGGGGCAGTGGGCGCGACAAAGCTAGAGTTGCTCAATGCGATTAGTGGGAGACTGAAAGAGATTCACTCTCTAACCTTCTCTGATGTATGGCCTAATCTGGGTTTGTACTGTTGTGAGGGCTAATTCCATTGGCTGCAAGTTCACAAAGGTAGCGGCACACGTTAGGACTGCTTCATGCTCCATGTCACTGTTTTACAACTGGAGGCTGCTTCGGAGCTGTATTATGACAATTCACTACCGTGGAAAGTCATTGATAATTATATGAGGAATTGAACTSAATTTATTATAGTACATTGCAAGCTCTTTGTATAGTTAGCCACTTGGAAATGTAGTATTTTTCTTTAGCCCTGCTGTGCTAAATGACTAACCTGCCAGGATGATTGGAGGCACTGGAGAATTCTGCCATGACAAAGTGCCTTTGCCTTTTTCAGATGTGATGTCAACATTCGAATTTGACTTAAAACATTACCTGTATAAATCCTGTAACTAAACTAAGGAACTGTGAAGTAAAACTCTATATRATTCTCATGATTTATAACATATTTTGGAGATGTATTTATATCAGAAATAAATCACTGTTTCAAAGCCAGTAATACAGCCTCATCATAGACACCAAACTTTAAAACTTTACCTAAAAATATGACATGCAGCAGCAACAAAGCAGCAATAACTGAAAATATATGGGTGTTGTCTGTATCAGGCTTACTTACATTGCTAACAAATAAGTACTTTTTGGTGGCATGAGGTTTTTCATGTTGTTCGGTTGATCCATGTAGAATGTTGGTCAAATTAATTTCCCTTTTTCCTATTTTTGATTGTTGGCATTTTCAGTAAAGGTGATTTTTAACACGTAAGAGCTTTCCACAACACATGGAGTCCATTTCAATACAAATGTGGTGTGAACAGAGTAGATTCATCRATATAAATAGCAGAGTTAGCATGTGATTGTGAACTACAATGAGTTACAAAAGTACAAACAGGTAAGTATAGGACTTGTAAAGGAAAGTACTTTTGTGAAAATTACATAAAATTATTGGATTTTTTTTAAATAGGTTTCATGTATTTCTAAAATTGATAGTAAATTTTATGACAGAGATTTTCTGCTTTGTTCAGCCATCCACAAGGCATAGTTACATTATTTTATTTCTTTTTCCAGGAATCTGTTTGAATCATACTCAAAATTCAGTGTGAGTGCACAATCGTTTGCACCGAGTACCAGAGCTGTCACCAACTAGACTTAATTTTTCCTTTGTGCGGTGCCCTGGGGACTGTTTAAAAACAGTCACTGTGATTTAGGACACGGGAAAGAAAGAATATAACCCTATAGATGTAGGAACAACACAGGGATGCCTGTGTGTCTGACAGTTACGTCATCACACAAAAGATATGTCACCAACATTGGCAGATTGTTACATTTATAGAACGCAAACTTGGAAACAATTGTGTTTGARCTGACAAATATTTAAACAGCTGGGAAATTAGTGTAGTTTCATATGTTTAATAGCGTATATGGGAATAAAYTAGGCTCGTGACAAATTTTAGGGTGTGAAACAAAGTTGATTTGTTTATTGTCAGATGACAATCTGCAATAGCAGCCTCTGATAAAATCTTGTTCACTCATGTTTTTTTGTGGATGTTTTTCACCTGCCAACCATGAGCTTCTGAGCTACAACAGTTTTTAAATATTTGTTTGGGAAAGAAATCAATCAAATCAGAAACAAAACAGCATGACAGTGTTGGAGTGAAACACAGACATGACTCCAGCAGAGGCAGAAGTGAAAAAAATTATCAGAGGCAAGGTGTGAGTTCAGGAGGTGTAGAGGTGGAGGAAAAAAAATCACAAATCTAACAAACGGCTGAAATTTACAATGAAAAATATCGTACACGCAACATACCAATTAATTTTTCTTGCCCACAAATACTTTTGTGAGCATGGCTAGAAAGAAATGTTTTTTTTCCCTTATTTTCTAAACAAATTTGCAGAATACACTGGGACAAAATGGAACACTCCAAAACTGAACCAGATTTATAAAAAAAAAACACTATTGGATTATTTTCAAATTTTAATTCCATGCAACCTGGATTTGGATACTCAGAAATAAATGGATCAAGTGAACAGCTGCCATGCAAAATCCACAGAGCATCAACTCATTTTGTCCAGTGATAATCCCAATAAATACTCCTTTTTTTAAACATGATTGATTTTTCTTTTTAATGTTAATAAGAGACAAACGCAGAATTACTTTTGGATTACTTAGAAGCTCAAATTGCACTGCTAGCTTTAACGTTCTATTTCCATATAAAACTTTTTTTTAAAATTCAGTCTACTAAAGGACTGATTTTTAGACAGTTTAACATTCTTGAATATGTTTTGATTAAAAAAGTTAACCATTTGTTTACAGATAAAATAAAATAAAGGTGCAATGGCAAACTAAAGTTCATACCAATCTGTGAATATTTTACAGAAAATATGCTTTAAAATACTGAAAAGAAKTTAAGTTAGCATATTCAATCCGTGTTCTCCAGTACCGGTTTAAAGTATGCCAAATGAAGCAAGGGATACTTATTTAATCACAGAATAATGATATTGTGATGGATTCTGACCTTTAGCAAGTGGTATCATGTATGGAGATTTAATTAGAGTGCCAGCCAGCAAGCGGAATGGCGGATATGTGGATGGAGTGGGGTGAAGTGGCGAGGGAGGGGTTTGAGGTGTGTGTGTGTGTGTGTGTGGGGGGGGGGGGGGGGCAGTCTGAATGTCCTTAATGAATCTGCTAGCCTTTCCCTTCCTGAGGATGTGGCCTAGACTGACTCATCAGCAGCGGCAGCAGCCACAGCCGGTCACTGATTAAGCTCAGCAATCAGACAGAGGAGGGATAAAGATGACCAGCACACAACACAATGAAGGCTGGTCAAGCACAAAACAGCATGGAGARAGAAAAAATGCCAATAACATGAAATCTTAGCAAAAGGAGAAGACAGAGAATGTAAAAGTGGACAAGCTCCTTTCAAGTGAAGGATGRAACAAGGGAGGGATGAGCACATGTGTTAGGAGACTGCGAAAGAGATCAAGAACAAGACTCAAAAGAAAAATCAGCGGCTCAGTAGAATAATCTAATTAATTGAAAAGAATTCAGAATGTGAATTCGATAGCACATAACAAATGTGGAAGAATAGTCCATGGCATGTTAGCTAATGATATGTAATTAATGATCATTAGCAGAAGGGATGAAGGGATGGCCGTAGCCCTGTCAGTGACTTGCAAGCGACCTTGTAATTTTCTCATCCGACTTTGAAGGGAGGAGCTTCACTCTCTGTTCATAGAACAKATTGTAAGGGGAAATAAAGGAGATCAGAGCAGATTCTAAAAGAGTGTGGAGAAGTAAGGTGGCTGGTATTTTTGTACCAGCAAGAGAGGGACAGGCAAAGAAGAGTGGCAGAGGATACAATGAATCAAAAAAGGGGGAAAAAGCAGTGAGTGAATTTATTGCAATCYTGCTTTTTGTTGTTCTGTTTTTTTTCTGCTGACACAGTGAACATGGAGGGAACAGGCAGCATTTTTTTATAGGTCACATGCCACTTCACAATGATCTATGGATGCGGGCCCTTTGCAGACTTATACTGTTGAGCATGCATTATGTGGCTCAACCGAGCATGGCCATTTGGGGGGGGGGGGGGGCAGCCAACCCCTCCTTCACACACACACACACACGCTTTCCATCTATCCTCTCACTGACTCTACAGTGCATTCCATTTTTTCCCCTATTTTCGTCTTTTTGCGTCTCTCCAACTATGACTGAAAGCCTCTTAAAGATGGTGCAACGCATCAAAGGTCTGTCAGGAGCAAGTGTTTTTATACGATCCTCACAAAGCCTGTGTCCTTGTGTCCTTGCACAAATGCTGCAACAGTTTTTTCTCTTTTTTGTCATTGCAACCTATTAACATGTTTTCTTTAATAAACACTAAAGTGTAGATTATACATAAAATCGTAAAAAAATAACTTTCAAAGTTGTTAAAAATGATAATCATTCAATGTTATRTGCACTATGATACTGCATTTTCCTAGTTATTTAAATAAGTGATTGCATTCACTTTGATGCTGAGTTAACACGTTGGTATTCCTCGACTCCCAACAGCTGGAAAACACATCACTTCATGCTACATGGTTGCTAAAAGCACAGTCGAGAAAGAATAACGTGGTTTTGCCTGTCACGCGTCCAATCTCACAGGGAAAGTGGTTTGGTCTATCCACAAAGCCTGAATGTGTTTCATCTATATCAAAAATTTGTGTCTCTGTGTGTGTGTGTGTTAGGCTATACAGCCACACTAGTTTAATGAGCCTTGGGGCTGCTCACCCTCTCCCTAATTGGAGGAAAAACACATCATGTTCAAAATATGATGCCGTTTGAAAACCTGAAGAAAGAAAAAAAAAATGTGAGAGAAAAGTGAGAAACAGGAAACATGGTAGGAAAGAGGAAGATATTGAGCAATGAAAAAGGCAAGATAAAGGGACATCTCACTGATACAAGACTCTCTCTCATCTTGGCTCCCTTTTGAAATAGAAGCCAGTACTTTGACATGCAGGCCAACCTTTACAGAATAATTTGTCTTTTATTTCCAGTTTTGGAACTGTTTAAAAATTATTGAGATTGTCATTTTAGTCATGTTGGGTTCTGTAAAATGTTCGGCAGAGGGGAAAAGGGCAGGAATGTTTCTTTTTTTAAGTTGCTGCTCAAATGATGACTGCACTTTATAGTGGAAAGACCCTCGTTTAAATCTGTATGCTCAGAAAACACATCTGAAAAAAGTCAAACGTAGTACGTTAAGTTGAACTGAAGTTCTTGTTTAATGTGCTATATGAATTAAATCAATATTCAAAAAGCTTTTTGAATAAATCGATCAACAACAAGACATTAGATGTCCAACTGAACACAAATTTGGCCTTCAAGATTAATTACTTATTGTTTTTTTCATAAATCTTTCTTAGAATTTATGAAAATATGCAACTACCCAGTTAGAATATCTTCTAAATGCAGGATCTCAAAAAGCAGCATTGCTTTCACAATTCCCAAAGTAATCTTGTTTGGCAAGCTTAAGACAGAARAAGTACAGTGTGTCTGAACTTGTGAATACTACTTTGTGAAATATGGGTTGAAATTACACTTTTGATATTTGTGGCACAGAGCCATGAGTCAYGCATCATTTAGAGCAGCAAAGAAAATTAAACTGAACATAAAAGCTAAATATTCCTAAAAACCAACCATGGGGTATAAAAAAGTGAATGATCCTTAACAAAAAGAGGTAAGAGTTACGACAATGACTCTTACTCTTAGGGAATTGTGTTAAGTGCAAACACTAAAAAGAAAAATGTACAGCATATAGTTTATATAATTAAAATAAATCATTTAGTGATGTGCAGTGCATGAAATTCGGTTATAGTTACAAATATTAATGGCTAACCACACTAATGTACATCTTAGATACCAGCTGAATTAAAAATTTTGCACTATAGGAAATTAACTGTATCCCCTTTAAGTTTTATTACGTCTACATCAGGTGGAGCCATGATAAAAAAGTAGTCTATTTGTGTGTACATATGTGTGTGTGTGTGTATATATATATAT